CCCCTGGGGTTTGTTTTTTGGGTGGATCCCCTTTTCGGGGTGTTTAGGTCCTTTCCCCCCTTCACCCAGAGGGGGGGGGGGGGGGGGACGGCGACGGCGACAACGTGAACAACAAGGAGTTCGTTGTTCGACACACACACACACACACACAAGCGGTCGATGCTAATTCAAGAAACGTACACAAAAGTGTTTGGCAACACACACAAACGTGTTTGGCTTGGGTGGTTGGCTGGCTGCTGCACAATACAGAGCGACAGCAGTGTGAACAAACAACAACTCGGTTTGTGCAACACACACACACACACACGTGTTTGCGTTGGGTTGGTGTTTGCCTGTGGTAGTGTGAACGTCGATTTTCTGCAAGAAATATCGGTGGGGAGGGGCTGTAGGGAGGTGACCGAGGGGATAGGATGGGGGGAGCGTTTCCCTCATGCCAAGGCAACGCCAAGCCGGTATGATGGCAACATGCCGTGTTGGGCGGCGACGGCGAAACGTCAAGAGCAGTGTAGGCCTACACCAGCACCCTCCCCCCGCCCACCATGACATAACAGCGTAAAAGCAACCACAACAGCAACAACAACAACAACAACAACAACAACAACAGCAACCAGAACAACAAACGGCAAAAACTAACAGCGCCATCAGCAACGGTAGCAGCACCAGACAACAAAGACCCACCGACATCACCCATCATCTCTGTGCCGAGAAAACACACATCCAACACACGCAAACACAACACAAACACAACACAAACACACCTGTCGTCTGACGAACTCTTCCTCCGGCAAGCTGAGCACCTTACGGATCTCCTCGATGTCCGTCGACACGTACTCCACCTATAGTAGATCAGACACGCACAGCAAGCAGCACGTGAAGAAAAAAGTCAGACACGCAGTAGTCTAGTACACAACAACGACCACACAAGAGACAACAATAAATTATAAACTCAAGTATATATGGTAACTTTTTATTTTGACAAAGGCGCGAAGAAGTGGATTCTTGTTATGGGAAAAAACGGGGCAGCTGTGCGGAAATTGAACTCAGGTAGAGTTGACGGCGCTTACAAGCGCATAGAATTCGACGGTAGAGAAAACCCTTCTCAGGTATGGAACTCCGTGGTTATACCATCTCCGGTGTTAGGCTGTACAGACAACGCAGCTGCCTCCACGAAACGATGGCTTGTCCTACCGTATGTTCATGCATGCGTACTCTGGCAAAGAGCTCGTACAACAACGAGGGGGAAAGAGCAGCAACAGCGCAGCAAGGGCCACTCTTTTTAT